TTCAACAATAAATATAACAAAATAGAGTGCAGAGTGATTGATGTTTGATGAGGAACTCGGGAAGACAGATACAAAAACTTAAACATTATCCAACAGAGACTATTGAAGATAACAAAAGCGAAAAGAAACTCGGTGAAAACAAGATACGATGTAAGCAACAGCAGCTTACAAAAACATGCAAAGGAATTGCGAAGAGAAACTAGAAGATATCATCGACCAAAATAAATGAACTAGGCTCTTAAGGAAGATATTGTCAGGAATTCTGCTCTTACACAAACAGTAACATGTTACCTTACGGATACGATTAAATACTTCTTGTAAGCTACGTAGGTGGTCATCGAAAGTTTTTCTCATCACTAACACGTCATCTATGTAGACAAGGACTACTTAAATGTCCATCAACCTCTCGAAAGTAGCGGGGGCGTTACAGAGTCCAAAAGGCATTACCTTGAATTTTACAGACCACTTCCAGTTGAGAATACTGTCTTCACTATGTCTTTTTCGTCAATGCCCACCTGTCAGTATTCGCTTTTTAAATCTAAAGTAGAAAACCAGTTTGAGTCTGCCATTATCGTGAGGGTATCGTCAATTCTGGGTAATGGGTAGCTGTCTTTAAAAGTGACATCGTTCAGCTTTCTGTAATCGACGCAAAATCTGGTAGATGGATCCATCTTCCTTTGTTACTAGTACACTAGGCGATGACCACGGACTTGAAGACTCTTCTACAACTCCCTCTCCAGACAGTATGATGTCTACTAATGACACCACTTCTTGTTATTTGTCACGGTTTTCTAGGTGGTTGACAGATTGGATGAGCACTACCGATATTGATTACATGCTTGATGATGTTCGTCTTACCAGTTTCCCCCCAAAGATATCCTTGCTCTGACAAGGGAATTAGAAAACTTCTCCAGAAGAAATCAAAAGCCGGAAATTTTAAATTTTTATCGTTACTAGCTATTAAATTACTAGGAAATGATTCCAAAGGATAACAAAAGCCAGGAATGATTCTCATTTTGATTATCACAGATTAGAACATTTTTCTGCTGACAATTTTGATTATTACCGGCGCTTGAATCATGAGAAAACTTCTCCAGAAGAAATCGAAAGGCGACTCTATTCACTGACCAATGAATGACTACAAAACATTTCCAAAAGAAATCCAGAGCCGAATGGCATGTATCATGGATACACATCCCTAATATTGAGCCTTCTTTAGTTTTGTAGAGGAAATATGTTGCCAAGATGTTTCGATTTGTCCTAGAATATCGCTGGATGATAAATTTCCTTTTTTTCCTTGATGTTTTTCAATTTCACATTTCGAAAAAAAAAACATGCTCATAGGTGGCTATGACATCGCCCTTGTTAATTTGAATAGTGTTGTGGCAAAGGTATGTGCTATTGGAACCGATATTATTCCTTGCGAGTTTATCAATGTATAATTTCTTTGATCATTGAATATCAACCCCACTTTGAGTCATGGAATAGGAACTTTTTCAACTTATCAAAGTTTTTCTGACGAGGTATTTATTGTAAGTTTAGTGTGGTGTACAAGTCTCACGCAGCTCCCGGGATCATTCTCCAACTATCGACACATAATTTTTTCGGTGTTGCCGTTTATTTTCATAGTTCGTGTAGCTTTTACGATTACGGACTTTGGATCCTTGGGTTTGGACAAACCCTTCAGTGTCAAATTTCAGGATGTTGAGTTGGTTGTTTAATGCAAAACCATGTTCACTGATTAAGTACATAACCAAAATAAACTCATTCTCTATATCAGCAATCAGTATTGTATAAAGAATGAAGGCTTTCACGGCCAGCCGGTCAAATCTAGTAAAAAAAGTTTTTTCCGGGCTATAATGCCGTGATCCATTAGTATTTCTACCTAACCGTTGGAGCCGGAAAACATAAGGAAACTCATCAAATCTGAGGCCTTACCACCTAGAATATATGGGCTTCCTAAGATTCACAAATCAGGCAACCCACTCAGGCCCATTGTAGGTGAAATAGATTCGCCCACATACAGCATAGCCAAATACCTCACAACCCTCCTTCAACCACGGATTGGCCAATCCAGCTCTTATATGTCAAGGACTCAACTCATTTCATCAAACAGATCAGTGATATCACTCTATTACCAAACGACATTCTGGTTAGTTTTGATGTAGTCTCATTGTTTACTAAGGTACCAGTAAATCAGGCCTTAGTGTATCTGAAAGATGTTTTGCCGGAGGAAATCAACAACTTATTTCACCACTGTCTGACGACTACGTACTTTCAATGGCAAAATGAATTCTTTGAGCAGACAGATGGAGTCGGAATGGGAAGTCCGCTCAGCCCGGTTATCGCCAACTTCTACATGGAACACTTAGAACAAATGGCACTGCAAACGGCCACAAAGAAACCTACTTGTTGGTGTCGCTATGTAGATGACACATTTTGTTGTTTGGAACCATGGAGAGGCAGAGCTCGAAAACTTCCTTAATCATCTAAACTCGATAGAACCCAGGATACAGTTTACGATGAAAGTTGAGAAGGAAAACAAAATTGCATTCCTCGACGTCCTCTTAGAAAGATTACCCTCAGGTAAACTGGGACACAGAGTATATAGGAAGCCGACGCATACCTCAACAAGGAATCTAATCACCATCCTAGGCAAAAGAGAGGAGTCATTAAAACTCTATCTGACAGAGCAATCCGGATTTGTGAACCCAGATACCTTCAGGACGAGATGCAACACCTAAAATCAGCACTTGAAGGAAATGGGTACTCCAAGCAGGAGATAAATAGAGCCATAAGACCGAAGCAACAGCGCACAACTAACAAGGAACCAGCACAGGTGGCAGGGAGATCCTTTCTTCCCTATATCAAAAATTTCACAGATCGCATAGGACGAACGCTAGAAAGACACAACGTTAAGCCTATCTACAAACCCTCAAGAACAATTCAGCAAAGTCTAAGATCGGCCAAGGATCCTAGGGTACCTCTTGAATCGGCTGGCGTCTATAGAATTCTCTGCTCTTGTGGATCTGTCTATGTAGGAACAACCAAACGCTCTATCAACACCAGGGTCAAAGAGCACAAAAGAAACTGTCAGCAAGGACAAATAGATAGATCAGCAATCGCCGAACACGTGCTTACACAAACAAACCATGTCATTCGTTTCGACCAGACTCGAGCATTGGATAGAAACAAACATTTTTACACCAGACTCCACAGAGAACCCATAGAGATACAGAAACACCACAATTTCAACAGAAGAGGGCATGGACCTCAACAAAAGCTGGTTGCCAGTTCTCTCAAAAACAAAGGCCCTCCTAGAACGAGACAAGAAAAATAGCGTAATACAATCCACGGTCCAACAACGTCGAATCCAGTCATCGGAGGATCACGGAAGAGAACACTTCGTCCTCTACCACACAGCCTCTGAAGATGTCTACCGCAGCAGTAGACGAAACGTGAGGTATAAATACTTATGGACCATGACATTATAGCCCGGAAAAAACTTTTTTACTAGAAAGTTTAATTTCTTTGATCATTAAATTACAACCCCACGTCATGGACTAGGAACTTTTTCAACTTATCAAAATTTTCCTGACGAGGTATTTATTGTAAGTTTGGTGTTGTTGTACAAGTCCCACGCAGCTCCCAGGACCATTCTCCAACTATCCACATATAATTTTTTCGGTGCTGCAATTTATTTTCACAGTTCGTGTAGCTTTCAGGATAACGGACTTTGGACGGTTGGGTTTGGACAAACTCTTCAGTGCCAAATTTCAGGATGTTGAGCTGGTTGTTTAAAGCAATTAAACCATGTTCACTGATTAGGTCCATACTCAAAATAAGCTCGTTCTTTATCAGTAATCAGCACTGTGTGACAGATCTTGATATATTTCCTAATTTCAGGTCGATTTCTGTTCCATGGACTCTTTGCGGTCCCCTTTTTGTTGGTAATGTTGGAGTTTAGTGAAAAACGGCTGCGCCGGTGTCCACTGGCATGATGATATTCCTCCCATTAATTTTTCATTCAATAGTCAAACTGTCCGCATTCTTTCCTAGCAATTTGGTGGATATGATTCTGGGGAAATGAAAGACAACAAAGATCCACATCAGTTATAAGCACCAGGAAATCTACCTAAAACATGTAGAAATGCAAGAGTAGTGCTAATACTGAAAAAAGGCATCAAGACTATAAAATTATCATTAACTGAATATTACATTGATATTTTTCAAGCATCAAACATGACCATTGACCACATTTACTCTATTCACTGACCAATGAAAAAACTGCATAAACCAGAGGCTTTGAGACAGTTTTCAACACAATGGAAAAAATGGTTTTCAATTATCATTCTAGCGTTAATCTGCCAATTTTTTGGTTGTATGTTGAACACTTCTTCAAAGTTCAAATACAACATTGACGTCAGCTGATCGATTTTGAAATGATTAGAAGCAATCTATCTTAGCTCTTAGCCTAATTTGATCAGATAACCCCTATTATTACTGGAAACCCAATCAAAATTTTCGTAGATTAGCTTTATTCAATTAATTTGTTGTTTGTACTTCAATGCTGGAAAGGATAGATTTTGAAAAATAGGTATCTCGCAGAATTAAAATTTTTAATGAACAAAAAACAATTATGGTTTCAACTTTTTTCGTCGTAAATGATCAAAGCAAAGTGAGAAAGTAGAAAAATAGTTAGGTAATTAAAACAATTACAATTATTCGAAATTTGTAAAATGCACTATTCTATTACGATAACTATATAGGCTTCTCTCATCCTATGCCGGAACCGAGTTAATTATATACCCATTATCACTTCCATAATAAAAACTGCAATAGATTAAGTAAAATTAACATTTAACGCGACAATAATAATTGTTGTTATTCCCACAATGTCAATGGTGGGACGTGGAAATATTGTTTTTGTTTAAAGCATGCATATTTACCTACATCAAAGTTATGATGTTTTTATCAGTCATTAATCTATTATTGCGTCGCCAAAACAACACTTAAAAGGCAGTGTTTCATTGTTATTAATTTAAATTTAAATTTTAGTGGCACCAGAAAATAAGTCAATGTGTTATATTGGTTGAAGTGACAATGATAGTTAAGAATTAACTAGGTACCTACCCAATAATAATACATAAAAAATTACCAACCGACATAAACAAAAATCGACCTCGTTGGTAAGTAAACAATCTTTATGACGCTTTGTTTTGCTTTGTGCTTACCTACTGCTTATTACAGTGCATAGATAAGATTGAAGAATGGAGATACAATAACAAATACAAGGTACAAGTGATAAGAGACGAAATAGTTATTTGCCTAACAAATGCGGAAAGTGATACTTTACCGCACGCAACAGCAGTTGACCGAACGACGCGAAGCGGAGTTTGTTCAAGCCGTTAAGGGCGGTAAAGGCACTTTCCGCATGTGTTAGGTACAAAATTTTACCTATGAGCATCTACATCTCCAAAAATAGTATATTACTTGATAACTGCAATCGCGTGCGGAAAAGTGGTACTTTCCGCACTAGTTAGGAACGCTATTTTTTCTACGAGATGAAAGGTAATATTTTTACCTACATATTTATCAATTTATAGTAGATTATACCACGAGTCAATAATAGCCATTATTGCGAGAGGTACTATACTCTACTTTATGTACGACAAATTAATTTATTTTAAATTTTCTTTTCAAAAATGCTTTGTTCATCCATCTCAATACAAATACACAAGCACTACGCGTTTAACACTGACACTTTTGAGTTTGTTCAGGTATATTGTTTCCATGGTATTTCTTAAATTTGAGAAATTTTGTGATTGGTGTGCAAGCGGGAATAATGACCATTAATCCCTGCGGGAATAATATATGGCATTATAATGCCAAAATCACAAATATAATACTTAAATTATATGTCAGTCGTAAATAATAATAGATTATACCACGAGTCAATAATGATAGCTATTATTCCCGAGGTATATTTACGAACTGAGCCGCGTTAGCGGCGAGGGAGTAACATTCCGAGGGAATAATAGCCATTATTGCGAGTAGTATGCTCTACTTTATTTACGACAAATTAATTTATTTGAAATTTTCTTTCCAAAAACGCTCTTTGTTCATCCATCTCAATACAAATACACAAGCACTACGCGTTTGACACTAACACTGAATTTGTTCTATACTGTTTCCATGGTACTACCTACTTATTTGATTTGAAAAATTTTGTGATTGGTGTGCAAGCGGGAATAATGACTATTAATCCCTGCGGGAATAATAGATGTCATTAAACTGCCAAAATCACAAATATAATACTTACATTATATGTCAGTCGTGAATAATAGTATATTATGCAATGATCATGTAATGATAGTCATTAATACACGAGCATGTTGTAGGATACGAAACGAGCCGCAGGCGAGTTTCGTATATAACATGCGAGTGTATTAATGGCCATTACTTGAGAGTTGCATACACTATTTTTTCTACTGACATTGATAAAACTTGATATTTAGATATGTCAACATTATACTTAACTTTGAATAGAGGTTTTATAATTGAGTAATCCATACAGTTGAAGGTTTAATTTTTTGTTGTAATTCTTCAAAATATGCTATATTACAACATTTTCTGAGAAGGACGATGTGTTTTTGGTGTTTCCAATCCATAAATTGTCCATATAATTTTTCGTAAATTTTTTTGGACTTGTCCGGTAGTAAGTATATTATTACCTGCATTTCTTGTCCTTTCTGTAATTTCTGGAGGTGTTAGTGAAAATTCTTCGTTATCGCTCAATATTTCCATAATAATGCCTTATCCCAAACATTAGGTAGGTAACTTTTAATAACAATTCGAAGTATTTTTTTCATAAAATTATTGTTTTTCGCTAAATTACCATGGAAAAGCTGTAAACAGAGTGTTGTCAACATTCAAAAAAAAATAAAATTCAAAATTTCTTAACTGGTGGCGCCATCTATTGACAATGTATAATAATGAAAAAAGTAAAAATTCTTCCTTATCACTCATTATTTCCATAATAATTATTCTTTGTCCCAAACTTTAGGTAACTTTTAAACAATTCGAAGTCTTTTATAGTTATCAAAATAATTGTTATACGCAAAATTACCGTTTAAAATGTTTAATATCTTAACTAGTGCTGCCATCTATCAACATTGTATAATATTAAAAATGAGTATTATAATGAAAATCTGTATCGTAATGAAGTTCATTATGATACAGATTTTAATCGTTTAATAGCGTATTATGAAATGTCAGTAGAAAAAGATATTTTTTTCACTTTTTCGTACCTGTACCTGTAGTATACATCATGTTTACCTGTAAGTATCTGTATACCTAAAAAATTGAGGTATTCTACTTTTCCGCACTCAGTGCGGAAAAGCACGGAAAAGCACTAGTGCGGAAAAGTGATACTTTCATGACCTAAAATGCGTGCGGAAAAGTGTACTTTTCCGCACGCTCGTAGAAAAAAGGTATTAATAAAATTAATTAATGAATCAGATTAATTAATGAAATTTAATTAGATTTAGAAATGATCAAAAATTCATTTTCTGAAAAAGAAGGGATTTTTTATTATAAATACCAAAGTCTACTTAACCGCACACTATGCAGTAAAGTAATTTTACCTACGAGCGTGTGGTAAAGTGCACTTTACCGCACGTATTTGCAAATGGAAAGTATCACTTTACCGCACACTATGCGGTAAAGTGCACTTTACCGCATAGTGTGCGGTAAAGTCAATTTTACAGCATAGTATGCGGTAAAGTAAAACACAAAGTGTGCGGTAAAGTGCACTTTACCGCATAGTGTGCGGTAAAGTAGAATTTGATATTTATAATCAAAAATCTTCTCTTTTTCAGAAAATTGATTTTTGATCATTTCTAAATTATATCTAATTTCATTAATTAATCTGATTCATTAATTAATTTTATCAATGCTTTTTTTTGGAGTTGTAGATGCTCATAGGTAAAATTTTGTACCTAACACATGCGGAAAGTGCCTTTACCGCCCTTAACGGCTTGACCGAACTCCGCTTCGCGTCGTTCGGTAAAGTATCACTTTCCGCATTTGTTAGGTAAATAACTATTACCGTATAGTGAGTGGTAAAGTGCTACTTTCCATTTGCAAATAAGTGCGGTAAAGTACACTTTCCGTACGCTCGTAGGTGAATATAATAACACGTGTATCAATGCTATAACCCAGAATAAATGGACACGGGATACAATTTACTTGCCATGCCGCGATACAAAATTTCGGTTTTTTGGTATTTTGTATCTGTCTCTTAGTCCGGTATTCATAGTGCCTACTTGAGTGCTGAGGATTCCTTAAAGGTTGCCTTGGTAGTAAATTGTCTTTCAGAGTCAAAATTGTCAAGGCGTCCTTATTTCGTCATATTTCCTTCCTTGACTTGAGGAATGTCCAGAGGTCCCTTGAGACTGGTTTTCTAACCTATTGGTGACAGTACGTGAACTGCATTTTATCGATGTAGGTAATTACTATGGATGAGCTGGAAAATTTATTTGTAGAGATAAGTGCCGCTGATGATGATAACCGCGTGTGGCTAAATTCAGCTGGTGCAGGCACCGTGGTGGAATGGTAGAAAAAGCAGTATTAAATTAAACAAGCATTAGCATGCATTAGTGAGTCGATAAATCACCGAATCCCTGTCATTGCAATATTTTGGTGAATTTAGCCACACGAGAGTTGTGCTGCGGAGGCCAAGAAGGTTTACTCGAGACATGCAGAATCCATTAAAGTTCTAAATTGAAGAAGTAGGCCATCTCTCAAAGTGGAGTTGAAGTTTGATTCCAAAATGTTTTAATTTTATAAATCCGTGAATTGGAAGAAACGCGATCTTTTCACTTGAAAAGGATTTAATGGGAATTCGGATCCACAATAAAAATTAATAACTAACAGATAACTAATGACAAATTGTCAACTTCTCATTGACAAACTTAAAATTAACTAGTCACAGAAAAACACTGGTGTTCCCAGCTTACTATTTTAAATGTGTAAAGATAATGGGTAATTTACAATTGAAACATACGTGGCAATAGTAGTATAATAACACTCCCCCTCAATGGTAAATTTCCCAAAACCAAATAAAAATATTCTTTAAAATAAATCACACTTAACAACAAAATTGTTAAATGAAGTCAATGATAAAGGTTTCGTGAAAAAATCTGCAATCTGCAGTTTTGTTGAAATATATTTTAATGAAACTATTTTATCATTGACTTTATCTCGAATAAAATGAAAACGAATATCAATGTGTTTCAGTCTTTTGTGGAACTCTGGGTTCTTACAGACCTTGATGGCCGACTGATTGTCCTCATATATAATAACACTGAAAATCTTATCAACAATTTTCAAATCTAAAATCAAATTTCTAAGCCAACAGGCTTCACTTATAGCAAAGACAATACGTAGTAATATTGTCTTTGCTTATAGCCAAACTCAATGCTATGTATTTTGCCTCGGTGGAAGACAGAGCCACAGAATCTTGTTTTTTAGAGCACCAACTAACTGTGCAGCCAAAAATCTTGAAAATGTAACCTGAAGTAGATTTTCTGTCAGTTCTGTCTCCAGCCCAGTCAGCATAAGCATAACCCTCAATTACATCATGAAAATCATCACCAGTTCTTCATTTAAATCTAAATCTATTTCATCATCTCCAGGTGATGAACTCACATCACTATGTATATCATTTTCATTCAATATGTCATTGTTTTCTTCATTTTGTACATCTTCTGCCTCGGATTCACAATCTTTTTCAATATCTAATATCTCATTTACTTCTTCCACTTCTAGAGACTTCTCTGGTAGGAAAATAACGTCTCTATGAGTTTCAACTTTGTTCTTCTGAGGAATATACACCCTAAAGCCTTTTACATTGTCTCCACATCCAAGAAAAAATCCTTGTTTATTTTTAGGGTCCCACTTCAATCTTTTTTCTTTGGACATTTAGGGATACTCTATTTCCAAAAATATTGAAGTTTTCTTATTTATATTCTCTTTTATGCCATAGTTCATAAGGAGTTTTAATTTTTTGTAGGGCTTGGTCCTGCATGGTTTAGAGTATATGAGACAGTATTGATTGCTTCTGCCCAAAAGATCTTTCCCAAATTTTTATTGCAATTTATCATGGTTCTAGCAGCTTCGACCAATGTGCGATTTTCTCTTTCAGCCCTACCATTCTGTTGAGGTGTATATACCACTGTATGTTGGTGGCATACACCTTTGTTTTGCAAAATCTTTTTGTTACCTCTTTGTTCGCAAACTCTAGACCATTGTCAGTTCTTAGAACCTTCATTCTCGTTCGCCTCTCAGCCATTATTATAAATTTTTCAATCACATTTGGCATTTCAGATTTTTGTTTTAGAATGTAAATATTGCTGTATGAAGAATAGTCATCCTTAAAGAGTATGAAATATCGAGCACCACCTAGTGAAGGAGTTTCAATTGGTCCACACACATCCGCATGAACCAACTCCAAAGTTTCTTTGGCTCGAGACTGACTGTTCTCAAATCTAGATCTGTGTTGTTTACCG